AAACACACAATTACAGAATTCGAAAATACAATTTACATTCAATCAGTTTTGAGAAAAGAATTTTGAGCAAGGCAACAGAGATATTTTACACCTTTTGAGAAAACTCTCTTCTCTACTGTCTTCTGTGCTTTCATTGTTAATCACACTTGTTCTTGGAGATTGGCATTTTACAGGCTTCTACAATTTGTTGTCTCCATTACCCAGGTGTGTCTGTTCTTATTTTTATTACCTTCATCATTTATGTATTGGTGGCAAAGGAGGTGTTTTCATCCTTTGATTTGTTCAAAGGAGGTTTTCATCCTTAGTGTGATTTTAGGGAGGTGTTCATCCTTAGTGGGATTCTAAGGAGGTGTTTTTCATCCTTTGATTTGTTCGGAGGAGGTATTCATCCCTAGTGGGATTCTAGGGAGGTGTTCATCCTTAGTGGGTTTCTAAGGAATTAAAATCAAAATACTCTTGTGTTAAGAGTTGACTGGGAACTGGATGTAGGGTTGGCTATACCCGAACCAGTATAAATCTCTGTGTGTTCTTCTTTTTCCCTTATCTCTTTCTCTTTTCCTGATTATATTATTGTTTCCGCTTTATCTGTGTTCAAACAAAATATTGACTCATAAATAAATTTTTAATTTGACATCTATTTTAATTTGTACATCTATTCATCCCCTCTAGATGTCATTTGTCTAACATAAATTATATATAAATAAATAAATATAAATTATAAATAAATATAAATTATAAATAAATAAATAAAATGATATTCAAACACGTCACTAAATAATCATAAATATAAATAAAAAAGAAAAAATAATAAATAATAAATATTGCATTTCAATAATGAATTATTAAGAACCCTTATATATTTTTCTATCTTTTATTCCCTTTCTTTATCTTCTTCTCTCTTTCCCTCTCTTCTCTCTCTTTTTCTTTTTTTCTTTCTTTCTCACTTTTTCATCTTTTTCTACCTTTTTACTCCTTTTTATACTTAAAAATGCACTTCACTTTTATTTATTTTAAATCTTAACATTAATTACAATACTTATATCTGACAAATATATAAGTCTCTTATTTTACTTTTTTAATAATTAATTTTTTTTTACTTTTTTAATAGTTAATTTTTTTAAAATATTTTATATACATTTTAATAACAATTTAAATGATAATATTAATAATAATAATTTTTTTAATTATTAAATAGTTTTTTATTGTAAAATTATTTAAATTATATAAAAAATACTATAATTTAATATATTATATTAAAAACAATTACATGATAAATTTTAAAATATTACTATTATTTTTTTATATTTCAATATTTAATGAAATATTATCTATATTTAGATATGTTTATTAAGGCATTATATGATATTATAATTTAGCTTCTTGCAAAAAGTTATAAATTTTAATTTTAATTTTTTTACTGATTACTTGTGGTCTCTCGAAATATTTGTCATTTTCTTTATCCAAACCAACCAACACCTCTTCAAATTCATCACAAATTTCATATTTGGAAATTTTATTTATAATGACAAAAAAAAACAAAAAATAAGTATAGAAGAACTTTATTCACTCATATGATTATAACAAAAATAAAATTAAAAGAAAAATTGAAGATGTTATTTGAGAGTAGAACCATGTTATTTCACTAAAATGTGTCAAATCATACTATTTTTATTTATGGTAGAGAAAAAAACAAAGTATTATAAATATAAGATAAAAAAGACAAAATAATTAGAAAGAAAAAATTTATATATATAAAAAATAAATTTTATTTTGGTTACTTTATACATTTTACATGTGAATGAACAAAAATTTTAATTATTACTCTTTATTTTATTAATTTATTTATTTAATTTCTATTTCTTAATTATTTATTGTTTTATATTCTCCTTTGCGTAACTAAAAACAATTGAATAATTAATATTCTTAACCTGAACCCTTGATTACTCATTGTTTTTCATTCACACAGAAAAAATATATAAATTAATAAATATTTAAGAAAATAAATTGAATGGATAAACTAAAGAGTATTAATTACTCATTTTTTCCACTTACACCTAGAAAAATATAAAGTAAGGAATATAATTTTTTTCTATATTTTTTGTATTTTATTTCTAATTTATTTTTGTTCCTTTTTTATCTAATATTTTATATTCTTTCTTTTACTATTTTCAATGTATGTTCTATAGGTTTGTAAGGAATAAAATAATAATAATAATAATAATAATAATAATATTTTTTTTAATTTTTGTTATAATTGTTAATGATATGATTTTGATACTTTTTTAATTTTCAGTTTTTTTTTTTTTTCGTTTTCCTCGTTAAAGTTTCAATAGTTCTTTTTGTTATATTTTCGTTTAGGAGCGAATAAAGGTTTTATATTTATATTTGAATTTTTGTTATGATATTTTTCGCTTAATAATTATGTTGTCTTGAATAAGCTTTCGATTTATGAAATTTGTGATAATTTTGAAGAGATGTTGATAGATTTTAATAAATAACACATTTTGAATTAAAATTTTATATGATTGGTATTATGGTGTTTTATTTAATTTATCTTCGTATTTATTTTTAATTATATGTAATTATGATTATAATTTATAGGTGAAATGTAAGAGAAAAATTGAGTAAGTGAATTAATAAAATAATAATAATTAAGAAAAGAAAAACATATATAAATTAAATAAAATAAAAAGTAATCAATGTTTTTTATCGTGTGCAAGGACACATGATAGACAAATGTTTATTAATATATTTAAACTTAAAATCTAATTTTAAGATATAAAATTTAATGATAATTATTTTTTTTATTATCATGAAGTTATAAATATTATTGTTTAAATTTTTTTTTTCGTTTTTGATATGATTCTCTTTCGTTTAAAATAGGTTTTAATCTAAAGTTATAAAATAATATTTTTATAACCATTTTTTGAAATAAGTTTTTAAAATTCATCTTTAAAATTATTTAAAAAAAAATAAATCAAACAAAACTTGAGACTTATTTTTAAGTTAAAAAAAATAAACTTATTTTAAAAATAGGTTAAACAAAATTATTTGGTGATTTTAATTTTAAACATACACAAAAGAAAATGATAGATGAAAAGTAGTTACTTCATCACGAAAGGTACAAACCTATCTTCTAATAACCAAACAGTAACAAAGACGACAATATAATCCACCTATAAAGACATGAAAATCATTAAAAAAATAGAAAAATTAAAATGAAAATGCTATTTTATCATATTTGATTTTTTTAGTTTTTAAAAATAAAATAAAAATTTTCTAAAATAGTTTCAACAAATCAGTTATCAATTTTTTATTTTTAAAATCTAAAGAATTAAAAAATATTTTTAAAAATAGCAAACAAACAATAACTAATACTACTAAAATAAATTATATATTAAGTATGGTTTTCTCTATTTTACATTTCATTACCGGAGTTTTCTAAATGGACATCATGAATTGGGAGACTGCAAATTTCACAAATTTCTCTCTGTTGAGGATGAAAGATTTTGATTATCAAATCACATGCGAAAATAATTATAAAGTTTAATTTTATTATGTTCTTATTATAATGATTTTTTCCTATTTTTAATTAATTAAAAATTTTCATAACTTGGTTTTAAAACATTACTATGACACAATTTTATTTATGAATAAAAAAAATATGTAATGATATTACTATGGAGAATATACAGATAGTATATTTAAATTAAATTTTAGTTATATCTAACAAAAGCAAAAGACAGAAAAAAATTTATATTGCAAATCTAAATTCTCATATGGTGTCAGCAGATTTAGAGTTTTGTTCCTTGTACAAGAACTTTAATCCTTTAATAATGGCTATGGCTACATTTATATATATATATATATATATATATATATATATATATATATATATATATATATATATATATATATATATATAAAACGGGGTTAGTTTACAGTGTGAGAAAATTAATTAAATTACATATTAATATTTTAATTATTTTATAAAATGTAAATTTAATGAATATAATAATAAAAATTTATGATATTATTTTAAGAATGATAGATATGTATTGAGATTTTAGTAGTTTAAAGAGAAATAATATTTGAATAAAGTAGGATTTAAAGTTTTTATTTTTGAGATAAAAATAGATTAAATTTAAAAAGTCTTTTGTTTTAAACTTTATTTTTAAAGAATTACTATTTCTTTAAATTTTAAATTCTTTAACTTTTTTTTAAATTTCTCACCTAATTCTTATCTTTTTCTATATCTAAACACTACAAGAAAATTGTTAATTATCGACATAATTTTTCAACAGATTGAACTAGTCGAAAAACAAACTTTTACCAATGGACTATACTAATATCTATTGGGTGAGAAATTTGTATTACCGACGGATTTATCCGTCAGTAAAGTAATAATTCATTACCGATAATTTAGTTTCCTAAGAAATTCGCGGATTGAGATGAGAAATTTTTTGGAATTGAATTACTGACGTATTGATAAGTTTCTTAAATCAATAGAAAAATGTTTTCTCTTTTCCTTCACCTCAATCCCCTCTCTTTCGAGCCCAACACATTTGCGAACCCTTAATCGTCTTCAATATCTTTTTTCTCCAAATTCATTCTGAAAATGATTCAATCGTTGAAAAATATATACCTTGTCGATCCTAATCACTAATATGTACTACACTTGTGCCATTTTGAGTGAGATTTAACCCTTTTTAAGTCGAAGCACCAATTAAGTTGTGTTAATTCCTCAAATGTAGTTTTATATGTGCTTTTTGGTTAGGTTTTCATTATCTGTTAGTGTAAATTACTGAGTTGAAACTTTGTTTTTTATTAAAGAAATGCAACAGAATCATGTATGTAGTTGTATCTAAAGGATCCATTTGTTACTTCGGCTTGTATTTAACTATTAGTAGTTCAATTTTTTTTATGCTCATGTTGTAAAAGAAACTAGAGTGCAAAGAATAAATTCCTAATTTTGTTATTAACAATATTAGTTTAATAGTTTAAGGGTGGTGGGGAGTTGATGTTGAACCTAGTATTTGTATAGTGAGCAAGTATTGGAAGTGAAAGAGGGCAAGGATTTACCCAGTCGAAGTTGCAATTGGTACATTTACATGTATTATGTTATATTTATTCAAAGTGAGTGTGTATGGTATTTTAATTTCCCTATATTTCAGAAAGGCCTTCCAAACAACACTTTTACACATGAAACCTGCCCCATAAGCTATTTGGCAAACCCGATCACATGAAACCAGTTGCCACATGCATGAGTCATAACTCAAAGCAATAACATATGATGTCATAGAAAACTAAATTTATGATGTCATTAAGAGGTGTAAAGTGACTAGTTACATAAGACAAAACTAGTGGAGGTGGCAACTTCATGTAGAGCTCACAACTTCTCTACTAACTACAAGTGCATAAGTTATTGGATAGGTATCCACACGGTCTTTAGCAAGATCAGTGGTTGTGATTCCAACACCACAACCCATCCCACCAAGGTTGAAGTTATGGATATGATGGTTAAGCTTGAAATGGTTTACTACCATTGAGGAGAGTGATGAGGTAGTGTTTAGTATTCCACAATTTACTAATAGGATTTTGATGTCCTTAGGTTTTACTTTTGTGGCGGCAATGATCTATCATTTGCTTGTGATGTGTTATTCTTATTAAGTTATTCTATAGGAAAATTAACCCAACCCTTGAACTCAACATTCATTTGCTGAAATAAAACATGTTGTAGTAATCTTAAACATGTTTTCTTTGTTTTAATATAATAATGGTAACAAAGAAAATAAGTTATTCTTTCATTTAGAAACCTTGAACATGTTTATAAGGGAAAGTAACAGTTTATACATCAATTTCTCCCATAATAGCCTATATGTTGTATTATTCCTTGTATAAGCAGCACCATAGGTATTGAACTGTAGCCCATCTCTATAAACATACAAGAGAACTAGTACAAGTTTGAAGGAAGAAAATTTTACCTGTGGGAAATCAAATAGTATTTTAGGAAAGAATAAATTAGGAAATTTGTATATTTCCTTGTAATCTGTACATATTTGAACAATTAGGAACAATCCCATAAATCAAGGGATCCTAGAATAAAATAGAATTATTATATTTCCTAAAATAGCTTAGGTACCTCTATATATCTTGTATGATCTCTTTGTATGAAAAATAATAAAATCAGATTTCATTTAATCTAATTTTCTAGATGGTATCAGAGCTTCCGATCTAAAAAGCTTTGGTTGCGCACTATAAACCCTAAGACAACAACCTATATTGTTGTTGCATCGCACCTTCTTGCTATAATGTCAAGGGGTCTCATGTTAGAGAGTCCAGCGATAGAGAACTCGGCAATGGTGGCTAACAATAAAGGAGATCATACTTTGGTCATGGTAGCCGAATAGAAGAAAGGAGGATCAACAAATGTGGAGAAGAAAGGTGATGGTCTCTGGTGTACCTACTACAATAAGTCTCGTCATACCTGAGCGAAGTGTTGGATGTTACATGGGAAACCTTTAAATCAAGACCGAGAAGGGGACATAGAGGAGGCCCCTCAAGGAAAGGAGGACAAGTTTATGTTGCTGCTAAAACGAATGAAGGAAATAATCTAGAAACGGCTGCCCATCTTAACCAAGAGGAGATAGAAAGGGTGAGAATCTTTCTTAGTAAGCTGGAAAAACCTACAGATGTGTGTTCTTTGGCATACTCAGGTAAGTTTCCACTTTCTTTTGGATTAAATGTCTCAGATACACCTTTTAACCATTATTGGATATTGAACTATGGAGCCACATACCACATGACACCATTAGCCAAACACTTCTCCACATATTCCCAGCAATAAGAAAATTGCCACAGCAGATGAAACCCTTATAATTGTAGCTGGTCAAGGAAATATCCAAACCAATCCTTTAATAACCTTAAAAGATGCTCTCCATGTCCCAAAGTTGTCCACTAACCTAGTCTCTATACAAAAACTTATAAAGTATTTGTCATGTAAAGTTGTTTTTTTCAAAGATCATTGTGTATTTCAGGACAAGGATTTAGGGAGGATGATTGGACATGCTAGAGAATGAAATGACCTCTATTATCTTGAATATCCAAGTGTGTCCAGCAAGAACAAAATCTCTCACTCCTTCATATATGAATCCTGGATGACCAACAGAGAAAAAATCATGCTTTATCATAGTCGGTTGGGACATCCCTCTTTTGAAGTGATCAAAATTATGTTTCCCTCTTTGTTTACCAAATTAGATGTTGAGAGTCTTCATTGTGAGGTGTGTGAACTTGCTAAGCACAAGCAGGTATCTTTTCCAATAAGTAATAAAATTAGCAATTTCCCTTTTTATCTTGTTCATACTGATGTATGGAGACCTTCTGATGTTCCAAATATGTCTAGTGCTGGATGGTTTGTCACCTTTATAGATGATTGTACAAGGGTCACTTGGGTTTTTCTACTTAAACAAAAATTAGAAGTCAGTTTTGACTTCCTAAACTTCCACTCCTTGATAAAATGTGTTAACATTAAGAGGCTTAGGTCAAATAATGCCAAAGATTACTTCAATCATGTCCTTAATTCCTTTTGTCAAAAAGAAGGTATAATTCATGAGTCTTCTTGTATCAAAACATCACAGCAGAATGGGATCACAGAGAGGAAATTGGACATCTATTAAATCAAACTCCGGCATTATTGTTCCAAAAAAGTGTCCCAAAAAGTTTCTGGGGGGAAGTTGTCCTTACAACAACATATCTTATCAATAGACTACCCTCTAGAGTCTTAGGATCAAAAAGCCCTATGGAAACTTTATCGTCTTTCTATCCAAACTTGTCCACTATAAATAATCTTACACCAAGAGTTTTTGGGTGCATCTTATATGTCCATATTCATAGTACAGACAAGGGGAAACTTGATCCTAGAGCCTTAAAGTGTGTCTTTGTTGGTTACTCATCCACTTAGAAAGGGTATAAATGCTACCACCCCCTATCCAAAAAATTCTTTGTATCCAGGGATGTTACCTTCAATGAACAAGATGGCTATTTCCATCAACCTTATCTTCAGGGGAGAGTTTCAGGGAAGATAAGGAAAGTAGTAATTCCGTTTTTTTCCATTCTTCCAAACTTGATATTTGAATCTAAACGAGATCAAGTTGAAGTTGTAACAAGTGAAGCAAGTCAAGGAAGTGAAGTTGGTCAAGGAATTGGTCAAGAAAAGGAAGCTTTCAAGAAAGTGAAATTAATTGTGAAGTTGATCAAGGAGATGTTGAAGCTGGAAAAGTTGGTTAGAAGATGGTGTACTCAAGGAAGACTAAGGTCATTCCAGGATCAAGCCATGTTCAATAATCCAACTCAACTCCATAAAAAGAGGTAACAATTTTTTTTTCCAGTTGTGCAGGTTGAAATTGAAACCCAAAATGATCCTGGCCTCCAAATTGCTATTAGAAAAGGGACAAGAAAATACACCAAACAACCACTCTACCCTCTCTCAAATTACTTGTCCTTTAAAAATTTCTCTCCTACCCATAAAACCTTCATAGTAAACCTAAACACTGCACTTCTACCTAATATCCTATCTGAGGCATTGTCTGACAGAAAATGGAGGCAAGTCATGGATGTAGAGTGGAGGCATTGGAGAAGAACAAAACCTAGGAGTTAGTCACCTTACCAATAGGAAAGAGGTCAGTTGGATGTAAGTGGGTCTATACAATGAAATACAAGGCTGATGGATCAATTGAGAGATATAAGGCAAGACTAGTTGCCAAAGGGTTCACCCAAACCTATGGAGTTGATTATTTGGAGACATTTGCTTCGGTTGCCTATGGAGTTAATTAAACTCACTGCATAGGAAATATGGCCTGGTATGCGACAAATATATAAGTCTGCTCACTAATCGCTGGTACATATCTTTTTCAACAACAACATCTTCTTCTGCATTTCCAAGCTTTAGGTTTGGTTCTAATGGGGTACTAGCAGGTTTGCAAGCTTCCTTACCAGTTTCCTTGAGTAAATTAGTGATGTATTTCTGTTAGGATATAAATATCCCTTTCTTGGAGTGGACAACTTCAATTCCCAAAAAATATTTTAGTTTTCCCAAGGTCTTGATCTCAAATTCCTTGCCTAAGCATTGGCTCAATAATTGTTGCTCTTCTTTATTATCTCCAGTTAATATTATGTCATCCACATACACCAATAATATTGTTACTCCCCCTGACTTGGAATGTTTAAAGAACAAAGTATGGTCCCCTTGGCTTTGTTTGTAACCCAGACATGTCATAAATTAAGTAAACCTGCCAAACCATGCACGGGGGGACTATTTTAGCAAACAGTGTTGGCAGCAACATCTCTACCATATCCCCGAGCTATCTCCATATAAATTTCTTCTTCAAGGTCTCCATGTAGGAAAACATTCTTAACATCAAATTGTTCCAAGTTCCAATCAAAATTGGCAACAAGGGACAATATCACCCTAACTATGTTCATTTTGGCAACCGGAGCAAAGGTCTCCAAATAATCAACTCCATAGGTTTGGGTGAACCCTTTGGCAACTAGTTTTGCCTTATATCTCTCAATTGATCCATCAGCCTTGTATTTCACTGTATATATTTGTCGCATACCAGGCCAAATATTGTCTATGCAGTGAGTTTAATTAGCCAATTTATGCATAGCCTAAAGGACACCCATTTACAAGCTACCCATAGAATTTTACAGTACCTTAAAGGAATGGTAATGTGAAGCTTGAAGCCTATACTGATGTTGATTATGCAGGGTCAATTGTGGATAGGAGGTCAACTATAGGATATTGCACCTTTCTTGGAGGAAATCTTGTGACTTGGAGAAGCAAAAAGCAGGATGTAGTGACTCGGTCTAGTGCTGAAGCGGAATTTTGAGCCATGACACAAGGTATATGTGAGTTGCTATGGCTTAAAATCATCTTAGAAGACTTGAGGATAAAATGGGAAGAACCTATGAAGCTCTATTGTGATAATAAGTCAGCAATCAGCATAGCCCACAACCCAGTGCAGTATGATAGAACAAAGTATATTGAAGTAAATAGGCACTTCATTAAAAAAAAGCTTGATAGTGGCTTGATATGCACTCCATATGTGTCCTCTCAAGACCAAATTGCAAACATTTTTACCAAGGGACTGGGCTGCCACATTTTTGAGAAGATTATATCCAAGCTAGAAATGGAAAACACCTATTCACCAGCTTGAGAGGGAGTGTGGAAAATCAAATAGTATTTTAGGAAAGAATAAATTAGGAAATTTGTATATTTCCTTGTAATATATCCCATAAATCCCATAAATCAATCCCATAAATCAAGGGATCCTAGAATAAGATAGAGTTATTATATTTCCTAAAATAGTTTAGGTCTCCTGTATATATCTTGTATAATCTCTTTGTATGAAAAATAATAAAATTAGATTTCATTTAATATAATTTTCCAGACTACCTATTCCCATAGTTTGAAGGAAGAAAATTATACCTATTCTCACGTCATAAAAACATGACCTCTTATAGCATAAACATCATGTATCCATTTCTT